AAGTTCTTCTGCAACTGATATTTTATAAGTTTCCATCAGGGGTGTAACTAGAAATCACAGGGCCCCATAGCCAAATTTTGTATGGGGCCCCGTGAATGCTAGTTATGCCACTTGCAGAGCCCCAGCGGAGAGTGACCCTGCAGAGCCCACCAAAGACTCTCTATAGTGGGCTCTTCAGGGTCTGTGATCTGTTACCTGTCAGCGCCTCTGTGGTCGCCGGGCCCCGACTCCTGTTCCGTCCCCGGGCCCCGCCTCCTCTGCTATTGACGGGCCGCACCTTCTCTTACATCACTGGCCCCACCTGCTCTTAGGTCGCTGGCCAGGGATGTAAGAGGAGGCGGGTTCCGCCTCCTCCATTCCAAACACCGCCCTCATCTGCCGCAGGGGCTGGCTGTCACTGACACAGCTCCGCAGCGGCTATGAGGGGAAATGCGCCGTGGCCGCTGCTGAGCTGTGTCTGTGACAGCCAGCACCCCCACATGCCATAGCAACCCAGATGGCCCTGGCCGGGCTCCTCTTTGCCCGGGCCCCATAGCGGCCGCCTGGGTCGCTATGGCGATTGTTACGCCACTGGTTTCCATTATTCGACCAACTTATTCATGCTTGTAAGGCACCATTCACACCAAGGCATTTTGTCGTGCATAAAACGTTCAGCACATGAATTTCCTTTTAATTTGAATAGCCCCCATTTACACCTAGGCATTTTGTCAAAAGCTGTAAAAAGCCTGTCACTCAGTAAAGTTCCCGAGCTTCTCAGCAGCGATTTGCGGCAAAGCCTGAAAAACGTGTTTTGCATATTTTTAAGCACATTTTTGCATTCTTTTTGCATGTCTTTGATATGCTAGCCAAGATGTGCATCTTCATGTGCATGCATCTAATGCATGTAAAAATGTGCAAATACAAGAAAACAATGGTAGGCTAAAATGCCCACAAATTCACACTTTACAGACACATACATGAATTTGTTGCACTACTGCAAGATGGATTTCTAAAGAATATCTGCGATATCTTTCTGAAATCCAAGAAGTGGTTACTAAACTATTCCACTGATGCTACTCCTTTACAGTACCTTCATGTGTGAAATAATATAGTTATTTTAAAGGTTACTAAATGCCATTGCTGTACACCAACCTGGAAGAGTAAAATTACTACTTGAGGACAGGAATCAGGACATACTGGGCCAGAAGGAAGTAATATGCCTAGTGTTTAGTGAGCAGTTATTTTTTTTCTCCAGTAACTAACTAAAAGTATTTGGCATGCTAATTAGCATGCCAGGCAAGATGGGCATATTGTAGTTGTCACACATGATGTAATAAAGCCAGGAACAATCCACTAGTGTGTTTCTAGTCTAATTTTCCCCACAGTGTGCGCTCTGCTACAAATGCACTTACATTTCCCCATCTATTGATAAAATTGGTGTGGCTGATTTGCTGGATAAAATGAAATAGAGCAGGAAAAAATAGTAAGAGCACAGTTAGATTGTGGACCCACATGCATGGATGAACATTCACTCAGATGTGCAATCTAAGTCCATGAACCTAGCAAGCTGATCATACACTGATCCTCAATTGGTATGGCACAGTCCTTGTTAACTGTGCATGACGAACACCCAAATAATGTTGCTTTTATGCTTCTTGTTCCGATAAGGTACTTCACAGAATATGCGAGTCAAACCCTTTAAAAGATAACCTCAAATAAAATAAACGCAATTAAAACATAACATGACTGACTCACAATCAACAAATAAGCATGTGTGCTAATCTTTAGACATATGTATCTTATAACAAAGGCTGTATATGTATGAGCATTTATCATTCCCACAGCTACACATCACAAAGGGGGGGGTGGG